AGCAAATGATTTTATCCATGTGTGATTAGAAAGAAAGACAGTTTGGGGATTAAACAGCAGCCAATGACAACAGACCTTGAGAGTCAGCCTACAGAACTGAGCTCTCTCTCTCTCTCTCTGTGTGTGTGTGTTGATGGAGGTGGTGGTGGAGATGGGAGTTAGAGACAACGGTGGAGGTATGTTGACACTCTGGTGGTGGATGTGGTGCAGAAATATTGTATGCTTAAAACATTAATTTTTGGTTGTTTTGAGGCCATACCCAGCAGTGCTTAAGGTAATTCCTGGCTCTGTGCTCAAGGATCACTCCTGGCAGGCTCAAAGGATTATGTGATGCTGGGTATCCAACCTGAGTCAGCCAATTACAAGGTAAATCTCCTATCCTATCCACTGTCCTATCTTTCAAGCTCTAAAATCAGTCTCCCCGCCCCCCCTTTGTGTTTTGTATTTGTTTGTTTTGGAAGGGCCATGCACAGTGATGTTCACGAGTTACTTCTGCACTGAGGAATCACTCCTGACGCTGCTCAGGGGACTATTTGGGATGCTGGGAATTGAACCCTGGTTAGCTGTGCAAGGCAAGTATCTTACCTGTTGTAGTATTTCCATGTCTCCATGCCTCACACCTCACCAACAGTCTTTTCAACAAATGTTGCTGGAACAATTGGATATATGCATGCAAAGATATTAATTTGGGTCTCCCAACATTACACACAAATATTCACTCAATATGGATCATAGACCTAAATGCAAGAGGTGTTTTTTTTTTTTTGCTTTTTGGGTCACACCCAGCGATGCACCAGGGCTATTCCTGGCTCATGCACTCAGGAATTACTCCTGGAGGTGCTCGGGGGACCATATGGAATGCTGAGAATTGAACCCAGGTCAGCTGCGTGCAAGGCAAACGCCCTACCCACTGTGCTATCGCTCCAGCTCCTAAATGCAAGAGTTTAAATGTAAAAACTCCAGCACCTTGTGTTCCCCTTTAAATGAAGTGATGAAATAGGAAAATTAATAATAAACAAAAAAACATATTAGTAGTTGTCAGTGTCTAAGGGAGATGAGAAGTCGCTGCTGACCTGTATAATTTCTTCAGAGAGGATGAAAATATTCTGCACTTAGTAGTGATGCTGAGCTTTGTTACTATGCTGAAAACTGCCAAATGAATGAACTTTAAATGAATGAACTACATGGAATGTGAATAATATCTCAATAATTCTGTTAAAAATTAATGGTGATTTTCCCCTGATAATCACAATTAAAAGCTTTCATCTCTTAGAGAAACAAATATTTATTTAAACAGTGGGATTGCTGCCATTGATCAATATTTACAGATTCTCTTTTTTTTTTTCTGGCTGGGGACATATATGGCGTGCCCAGAGCACATTCCTGGTTCTGTGATCAGGGATCGTGACTGGTCCTGTTCTGGGGACAAGCATCTTATCCCCTGTGCTATCTCTGCAGTCCTATTTACAGATTCTTGTCAGTGGCAAAGTAAGCAATAAGCTTTCTCTAAAAACAACTGTCACTCTCAAGTACGGAATATTTTTCGTTTTTGTTTTTGTTTCTGGACAAACTGGCAGGCTACCGAATGTAACCTGCCCACACGGCAGAGTCTGGCAAACTCCCCGTGGCATACCCAATATGCCAAATACCAGTAACAACGATGGGTCTTATTCTCCTAACCCTGAAAGAGCCTTGAATGTGGCACTTTTTTAAAAATCTCAAGGCTAGGACAAAGGAGATGTTACTTGGGGCCTGCTCAAGGCAATCGACGAACAACAGGTTGGTCGTGATCGTGATTTCTGAACTATACCTGGTGGTGTCCAGAGGCTTCTCCTGGACCCATGCTGAGGCATGGGTCACTCCCCTTAATGCTCCGGAGAACCTGCCAGGTCTGGGATCAAACCCGGGTGGGAGTGAGGTGAGGCACATGTCTGGCCCGTGGCTGACCCAGATTCTATCCCTGGCACCCCATATGATATGATCCCCCAGCACCACCAGGAGAGATTTCAGAGTGCAGAGCCAGCATCCTAGTGCTTCCCCACTGCCTCACCACCACACACACACAGAAACAACAACCCCCCCCCCCACCTCTGGGCTTCCTGCATGTCTTCCAACGATTAAGCTCACCATGCAGAACTGAAATATTCAAACTCCAAAGTACAAAGGAGCCCCAAGAAAGTGTTTTCATGACTTACCTTTCTAAATTCTCATTTTCTGAATAACATAGATTTAATTTTGTAATGCTCTTTTCTAGAGCATCACATAATCTTTCAAATCTGTCACATGCATATTAAATTTTCACTAATTCTATTGAATGTTTACTGGCTCAGTTTAGAATGAGCTTTACGCCATGACTAATTGCTTCATATTTCAGACTTGGGTTGGCACGAAGGGAGTGTTGGGACATACCAGGTTGTGCTCAGGGGTTATTTTCTCCTTTTGTGTTTGTTTTCGATTCACATCGGGCAGCATTCAGGGCTTACTCCCAGATCCGTGCTTGGGGATCAGTTCTGGTGGTGCTGGGGCTACCACCTGGGGTCCCGGGGATGGAACGCAGGCCAACTACATGCAAGGCAAATGTCCTGCCTGTTGTACTATCTCACTGTTCTCAGGGGTTATTTCTGGCTCAGAGCAATAGCACAGAGGGTAGGGTGTTTGCCTTGCATGCGGTCGACCTGAGTTCGATTCCTCCGCCCCTCTTGGAGAGCCCTGCAAGCTACTGAGAGTATCTCGCCCACATGGCAAAGCCTGGCAAGCTCCCCGTGACGTATTCGATATGCCAAACACAGTAACAACAACTCTGACGATGGAGACGTTACTGGGCCTGCTTGAGCAAATCGATGAACAATGGGAGGACAGTGCTACGGTGCTACAGTGCTCAAGTATGACCCTGGTGGTGCTCAGGAAACTATATGTGCTGCAGGCATAAAAGCAGGGTCAGGCTTACTGGCAGTATGCAAGGAAAGTTCCAGCACTATCTCTCTGTCCTCCAAATCTTACATGTTGATGCAGATTTCCCATTGTCAAAAATTGACACATAGGCCAGGAGAGATAGCACAGCACTTAGAGTGCTTGACTTGCAAGTGGCCAGCCAGGGTTCAATTCCGGGCACCTTATATGGTCACTTGAGCCCTGCCAAAAGTGACTCCTGAGCACAGGGCTAGGAGTAAGCCCTGAACACTGCTAGATTTGGCCCCCGAAATCAAAACAAAAATTGGTATATTTCAGTTATATACATGTGTATATATGTATATGTGTGTCATATATGTATATTAAAAATATATATATACACACACATTTTTGTGAGGAGGGGGGTAACACCCAACAGGGCTCAGGGGCTTTCTTTTCATCTGACTTGTTTTTAGGGGTTGCTCTTAGGGATGCTTGGTACCAGGGATGGAACCCTGTGCCTTCTGGGAGTTTAGCTCCTATTGAGGAACCTCTTAAAAGTGAACACGAAGCTTTACTAAGAGCATAGGTTACAAATTCGTAGCTGTTGACTGACACTGTACATTGTACCAGTGTTATCAGTGTTATACATAATTCTAACAAGTTGATATCAAGAGGATTTCATCATGGTAAAAATTAAGTTATTCTCTCTCCCTTGCTGTTTTTGTTTGTTTTTAATGGGCCTGAGTAATAGCACAGAGGATAAGGCAGTCCACCAGATTGTCTCACATATGGTCCCCCAAGAGTGATTCCTGAGTAAGCCCCAATCACAGCTAGGTTTGCTCACCCCACACCCCCAACAAACAGACAACTCGGTTGGTTGGTGTTATCAGGAAAAACGTTGGTCATGGAGGGAAGGAGAACTTATGCACTTGTAGCTCGCACTGGTACATGAAGACTGAGAAGGAAGAAAATTCCATTTGTCATCACGTCTTCTAGCCGAGTTTTCTCCATATATATATGAGTTTTCTCCATATATGAGCACTATATATATTGCTTTTTTTTGGGTCACACCCGGCGATGCTCGGGGGTTACTCCTGGCTCTGCACTCAGGAGTTACTCCTCCTGGCGGTGCTCGGGGGACCCTATGGGATGCTGGGAATCGAACCTGGGTTGGCTGCGTGCAAGGCAAACGCCTTACCCGCTGTGCTATCTCTCCAGCCCAACCTTTATTATATTCTTTATGACATTTGTTGTCTAGATAATTATTATTTCTTTAATAAAACCAGCAGTTTGACTCTGGTGAATCACATTCTCGGTCCCTCAATACGGGATTGTACAACAGATATTCGCGCAATCGCAGGATTGGATTTCTCAGACCGCAGCGCCTCCACAGGGACGACACCTAGTCACTCCCAGTGCCCTGAGACACCCAGCGCGGAGCGTGGCTGCAAATGCCAACCGCTCGGGGAACACCAGGTGCAAACCCGCTCCGTAGGCGGCGAGGCGGAGCGAGCCCCGCGTTCGGCAGCTTCCGGCCCCAAATCCGCCCCCCCGAACTCCAAATCCCAGCAGCCACCGCGGCCAATGGCCGCGGCGGCTCCAAGTCAGCTGACCTCGGACGCGCCCAAGTGCCGAAGCCGGGGGGGTGTGCCGCCGCATCTGTCTGCTTTCCTTTTCGGCCAGGGGAGAGAAGCTTCTCCAGGCTTCCAGTCGCCAGAATCCCCTCCCTAATTTGACTTTCGGAACCGCTCTGCGGCGCCCTGCGGCGTGTCGGCCGTGCGGGTGGCGCTCTCGCTCCGGCCCGCGGCCCCGCGCGAATGGTCCAGCCGGCCCGGGGCTGCCCCCGCCCCGCGGAATGTGGGGCTGCGGCGCGGGTGGGCGGGGCGGCGGGAGGCGCGTGCTGGGCCCGGGCGGCGCGAGTGGCTGCGGCGGCGGCGGCGGCGGCGGGCGGTGGGCGGAGCCGCGCGGGGCGGGGCGGGGCGAGGCGCGGCGGGGCGGGGCGGGGCGCGGCGACCCTTGGGTCCGCGCGGCGGGGCCGGAGCACAGGTAGGCGAGCCGGGCCGCGGAGACCGCGCCGCCGCCGCCGCAGCCGCCGCCCAACCCTCGGCCTCCCGCGTCGGGCCGGGGGGAGATGCCGACCCAGAGGGACAGCAGCACCATGTCGCACCCGATCGCAGGCGGCGGCAGCGGGGACCATGCCCACCAGGTCCGGGTCAAGACCTACTACCGCGGGTGAGTGCGGGGCCGCCCGCGCCGGGGCCGGAGAGCCGGCGGGGACCGCGGAGGGGGCGCCCGGGCCGGGGCCGGGGCCGGGGCCGGGGCCGGGAGGAGGAGCCCGGGACGGTCCGCCGGGGCGCTCGGGGAAACTCGCTCGCCCGGTGCTCCGGGCTGAGCGCGGGCCCCGGGGCCGCCGCCGCCGAGAGCTCGGCTGACCGGGGCCGGGGCTGCCCGGGCCAGCAAAGCAAAGCAGAGCAGAGCAGAGCAGAGCAGAGCAGGCCCCGAGCCTCGGGCCGCCAGGCTGGTTCCCTCCGGCCCGGAGTGTCGGCGCTGCACGTCGGGATGGGAGAGGACGCCGGCGGGTCTGCAAGGCTTTGGGTGCTCTGGGTGCTTTTGGGTGCTCTGGGTGCTCTAGGTGTCGCGGCGGCGACGCGAGCTGCTCCTCCGTGCAGAGTCAGATTGGCCGAGGCTTCTTTGTGAGCCTGGGCTTCCAGGACCGTCCAATCGGGAGCGGCGGTGCAAGGTGAGAAGAAGGAGGAGCCCCGGCGGGTTTCAAATCTGTGATCTTGACTCGGGTGGTTGGTGCCTGAATCTCACGGCCGCGGTGACCTGGGATGAGCGGATCCGCCGGCTGCTGGAGAAAGTTGCATTTTTTTTTTTTTTAATCAGGGACCCAGGTAGCCCTCTCCCCTCGAACTGAGTTGTGCTGGGGAATTTCTGGGAAGCGAGGGCGCATTAGGAAGGTGGAATCTTGGTTAAGAGTGAACATAAATGTTAATTGAAGATTCGCGGGAAAAGCCAGTCTCTGGTGGGTCGTGCTGCTTGTCCAAGTAGAAGTAACTTGCTTAAGAAAAGAAAAAAAAAAGAAATCCAAGCACTAGGAGTCTGAAACTGCACTGCAGACTTTGACATTCCTGAGAGGATCAGGGAAGATAGCGGAAGCGCTCAAAATGCTTCTCTTTGTTTTGATTTCCAAGAAAATATAAGCCCCGAAATGGTTTTTGATTTGATGCTTGCTTGCTTGCTTGCAGGAATCCTCTGGCTTGTTTTATTACCTGTATTCAAGAATGATTTACGGGAATGATTCCGGACATTCTGTGTTTTTGCTAATTGATGGACTCGGTTCTGATTATGAAACAATACCTAGAATTATGTGCATGTTTTTGAAAAGTTGGTAGTCACTGAAGGGCCCTTTCGATTCCATATGGTCAGCTATGAACTTTGAGATTGGGGGCGGGGTTGGGAGGGGTGGGCATAACCATCTTCTCTTTCCCTTCCCTTTAATTCCAGAGATGAGATATCTTACTTGAGAATCTAGTGTTCCTTTTTTTGTGAAGTTGACAGCCCAGGGATTGTTAGGGATAGAGAATTTTTTTTTGATTTTGTTTTTAGGGTGCTGATTATTAACGATTTAAAACTCTAGCGTAAAAAGAGTGAATACAGGGATATGGTAGGAAAGTTCAAATTGTACAGACAAAGTAAACCGGTGTCAGTGATTTTATAAATTGATGCTGCAATAATTTTTTTTTTTTTTTTTTGCTTTTTGGGTCACACCTGGCAATGCACAGGGGTTAGTCCTGGCTCTGCACTCAGGAATCACTCCTGGTGGTGCTCAGGGGACCATATGGGATGCTGGGAATCGAACCTGGGTTGGCCGCGTGCAAGGTAAAGGTCCTACTCGCTGTGCTATCACTCCAGCCCCAGCAATAAAATTTCTTAAGAAGTGTTGCTAAGCGATGGTGAACTTTAGATTGTATTTGCCAGTCCTCTTTCCCAGGTGAGACATTGGGTGCACACTGCTTTTCGCTGCCTCTCCTGGTACCCCCTCCCGCTATCCCCTTCTCCCGCTGGCAGCTGAACCCTGAGACTCACACAGGTGAGACATCTGTGCTGCCACAGAGCCCTACTCCTGATTCTGCCTTTCAGTTTTTTGTTTCTGTTTTTGGCTTTTTGGGTCCTACCCAGTGATGCTCAGGGGTTACTCCTGGCTCTGCTCTCAGGAATTACTTCTGGTGGTGCTCGGGGGACCCTATGGGATGTCAGGGATTGAACCCTGGTCGGCCGCGTGCAGGGCAAATGCCCTTCCCACTCCAGCTCCCTGCCTTTCAGTTTTTGATTGTCAGGTATTTTTTTTTTTAATTTTTCTGACTTACCTTTGTGACTTTATTTTTTTACTTTTTGAAGTAAATAGATTTTATTTGGAGGATTTTTAGGTGTGGAGGGAGAGAGAGTAACATACTCAAGAGAGAACACGGGCTTCTCCAAGGACGGAGAGAGCCCCTACACACATCTTAGCATCAGACACGAAAGGATGAAAGTCCACATCTCAAGAGGGGAGATGCGGGTGACACATGTGCTTGGCCACGTGGGCGCAAGCAGCACATGGGCTCAGGTAGCAATATGCGCCTTACCTTTGTGTCTTTAAATAACACGATTCTTCGCTTAATGGCTCCAAACTATGCAAGATGAAGAAATCAATGCTTCTTCCTTTTTTCCTGTTTTTATTAATCTGAAAAATGTAAATAGTGCTAGTCAGTAAATGCTTATAAACTTCTCCTTTGGAAGGAAATCGAATCAGTTGCCCTTGAGGAGTTTAGGTAGTACATTTTCTTGACTTACTGCTTCAATTGTACATAAAAAAGCCAAGACAACCTATTTTATGATTGAGTCAAATTTCCTCAAGACATTTAAGTCAACGTTTGTTTTATTTGGTTTTAAAACCTATACATTTCTGGCTGGAGAGATAGTATTGTAGGTAGAGTGCTTGTCTTGCACAGGGTTAACCTGGGTTGATCCCTGGAACCCACCTGATCCTCCAGCCCCCACAAGGAATGATTCCTGAGCCCAGCAGTGATTCCTGAGCGTGTAACCTCTGAACATCACTGGGTGTGGCTCAGAAAACATCAACAAACACTGTGCATTTTTGCTGAGGCCTTGAGAACTTTTTATTCAAGGAAATTCAAATATTGCCTTATTGCAAGACTGATTTAAAGGTCACGTTGGCACTCACTAAATTCCACTAATTTCTTTCTCTTGAAGTTAGATATTAAGATTATATGTTTATTGATAATTGCCTAAGCTGATAATTATGATGTTATATAGTCAGCTGCTTATTACTACAGATGAAACTAAAATGAGTCATCAAAAGGATAGTTAATAAACATGTTGGCTAACTAGAACACCTATCTGATCTTAAAATAGAAAATCCTTTATATCAAGAACATAAAGATTAGGCTGGATCGATAGCACAGCGGGCGTTTGCCTTGCACGCGGCCAACCCAGGTTCAATTCCCAGCATCCCATATGGTTCCCTGAGCACCGCCAGGAGTGATTCCTGAGTGCAGAGCCAGGAGTAACCCCTAAGCATCGCTGGTGTGACCCAAAAAGGAAAAAAACAAAACCCCCATAAAGATAGTTTGTGTCTTGAAAAACATTTCTTTTCTCTAGGTCTTATGAATGACCATGATCAGAAAGTTTTTGGTGTGCCAGCTTCCAATGTACGTTCCCTTTCAAATATGTAGATAGTATTTTCTTTAAATTTATTCCTTTTGTGTGTGTGTGTGTGGGGGGGGATGCATACCTGTTGATGCTCAGGGGGTTATCCCGGGCTTTGCACTAGGAATTAATCCTGGTGGTGCTCAGGGGACTCTGGGATGCCGGGGATCAAACAGTTGTTAGCCACAGTGCAAGGCAAACACCCTACTTGCTGTACATCTCTTCAGCCCCTCATTCTGGAAAATTTATTCTTAATGGAAATGTGCTGCTTCCCCAGATGTAAAGGACATTCTCCTATTTTATTTATTTATTTATTTATTTATTTTTGCTTTTTGGGTCACACCTGGCGATGCACAGGGGTCCCTCCTGGCTCTGCGCTCAGGAGTTACTCCTGGGGGTGCTCGGGGGACCCTATGGGATGCTGGGAATCGAACCCGGGTTAGCCGATTGCAAGGCAAACGCCCTACCCGCTGTGCTATCTCTCCAGCCCCTCCTATTTTATTTTTAAGCGAAAGATTAATAGCCCTGAGGATCTGATCTGGTTGAAACCACCTAAGACTGCCAATCTCACTGCCTCTTTTTTTTTTCCTCTCTGTGAGAGCTGGTGAGTAGTAGCAGCCATCCTTCAGTCATTACCTAGTGGTGTTAGTTTGGAGGAAGAGAAACAGGTTTTGTTGGTTAGTGATGCCATTGTATGTGCTTAATCCTTGATATTATGAGCTAGCTTGAACAAGGAAGTGTCTTTTTTTTTTCTTAGCATTATTTTAGATAATCTTTTAATATATAATTTTTTTTTTCTGGCTCTGCACTCAGTCACTCCTGGCGGTGCTCAGGGGACCATGTGGGATGCTGGAGATCGAACCCTGGTCAGCAGCATGCAGGGCAAACGTCCTACCCGCTGTACTATCTCTCCGGCCCCTATACAGCTTTTAATACATGGGTTTTTTTTGTTTTATTTGGGGTGTGGTGTTGAGGTTTCCTGTGGAGGTGTTCAGCGGCTGTTCCCGGCTGCTCGGAAGTGACCCCTGACAGTGCTCAGGCACCAATCGTGGTGTTTGGTTTTCAAACCAGGGTCAGCGGGATCCATGCTCTCTCTCCAGCCCCCGTACTACGTATTTCTTTACATTATAAATGTACGGAAAATTTTGCAAAAAGCTTGGGGACCCAGGGGTTCTTCTTGTGCATATCTATAAACAAAGATTATTGCAAATTTAGATAGTTCAGTGAGGGAGGTATGTAGGTTTTTTTCCCTCATTGAAGAAGTCTCGGCAAGACTTGTTTTTTGAAAATCTTGCACAATAATTTTAGTGATATTCTTTAATCATGGTTCTCAGAAACTAAAAATAGCACTTTGAGAACTGGGGGAATTGTTGTTGAACCGGAGCGTCTAGTGTGGTATTCAACCACCGGGCAGAGGAACCACAGCCTTACTAGAAAGGACTGGGAGGCATTTTGCCAGAAACCAAAACTGTCTCCCAGAAATCTGAATTAGATGGTATGAAAATGAGTTGCTCACTGGT